GTTGTTCTATCGCTTTACTCGCTCAACTCGACAGTATTTCAAATGATCTCATATCTCTATCTATCGTCAAATGGGTACTTTGGTGATCAATTGTGCGAGCTTTTCTTCCCGGGAGCTAGACGATGTTTTGTCTCAGCCACACGAGGAGGTGGGTATCTTCTCCATTGTCACAGTTATCTGTTTGGTAGCAACTAAACTTGCAGAGGCCAGTATCCACTTCATCCAGGTGCTGCTGGACTTCGTTGTGCTGATACTTTCTAGTATTCTGTGCATTGTTGCAATGCGTATATCCATTATGGTAAAAGGCTCAGGCAATGGTGTTAATCGCAAGTTGGAATCTCCGATCAGGGTAGGCAGATCATGGAGTATTTTGAGATCTGAAAGAACAATTGAATTTCAGTGGCTTGGAGTGCTGATGGCTTTATGTGGATTGGCGGTGCTGGAACAGGCCATAAGCTTCTTTCGGACGTCTTCTGAGCAGGATAATCCGATGCATCCAATGGTCGTCGTCTATATGGCGCTTTATCATATGGCTTTAGCCATTGGTCTCATTGTTTTTCCTCTCTACCAGGTAAATCACTTACCGCTAATGAGATATCATCTTTTGCGTGATTTTCCCCTCTTTAGGTTATCTGCTCTGAGAAACTAGCTTTTCATCCCATGTCCCAAACTACGCTCTTGATCATGTCTGTTGTTCGATTCGTGGAGATTCTAACTCAACTAGACTATCGAGGAACTGGTGAAGACCTTTCACCTGCGTGGAAGGTTCATCAGATAGCTGACTTCATTGCGATGGGAAGTGAGTCCTATTTTTATTTTCTATTCATATCAATTCTCCAAAACTTCTATCTCGCAGGTCATTTTGCGACTGCTGTGTTGACGATCCGACTAATGGGAAATAGCATAGCAGAGCCAGACGCTGACGAACTTCGATTCAATAATCCACTAACTTTGGAAGAGAACGGAGATTATTTGCAACTTAGGCATCAAGAAGAGACCTAATAAGAAAATGTGTTATCTATGAACTCGATTGTATAAAATTTATCAGATCCTTGATGAAAGCAACAAAGTATGTTGTAAAGAAAAGAATGCGAATGCAAGGGGCTGGTTTGGGGTGTGTCCTGGACGTGCCATGAACCCAGCTACTGAATGCACTACACACTTTAAAAATAGCGATAAATTAGGAAGAAA